ACGACCAGATTTATTAGAAACTATTCTTTGTCTTTGTTCGTGTTGTAACATAAGAATTCTGTCCTTTGAATTTCGTCATATCTTTTTTGAAGAGAATCTATAACTCTTACGAGAAACATGTGGTTTATGTCTAATGACATAAAATGAACGAATATATATATATATATATATATATATATATATATATATATTAAAGATAATATATTCTTTTATTCTAAACTTCTAAACATGTCGTGATTCCCACCCTTTGGCGCGTGTTTAAGTGTGGTTACGTGTAGTTGAAACTCAAACCGCCAGAAGGAATGAGTGGGACGATTGTTTTAAACATTGAAATTTCAGTTATTTAAAGTAAGTGTAAACAGAAGGAAGCGGTTAGTCAGCTTTAATTGTCGTTTCTCTGTTTACAGGTAAGTTTACAACTTGTTTTAGGTCAAATAGTCTTTGTTAATAATGTTAATGTTATAATATTATATTAAATAATGTAAATGAATGACTTTGTAAATGATTGTTCATAAAAAAGGAATAAAACTCTGTTTACAGGGAAACAAATTAGCTTATCACTAACCCACAGTAAACAATTGTCTTTATATATTGAAACGAAGAACGTGTCATATATAGATAGATATATAATATATATAATATATATCACAAAATATATAATTAAACAAGTTAATCGTATACATAAGCAGAAGAAACGTCTTAAATAATAGATCGTGTTTTATCCGGATATAAAAGAAATCGTATTCAAGCAGACTGAAAAAAACAGAGAGTAAAGAAAAATATAGTGTATAAATTGCATATTAAAACTGTAAAGTTACCCCAAATGCACAGCAGTCGTTGTTTAAAGAGCCGCGGCCGGACGGGCACTGGCGGCCCAGCGCCGTGTGGCGCAGCGAGACGCGCGGGACCTGCGCCTCCCGCCAGCCGCGCCCCTTCCGCTTCGCGCCGCCCGCGCCGCCCCCGCGCTCCTCCAGCTCCTCCTCGTCGGCGAGGTCGCCATCGCTGCAACAGGGACGCGTGGGCTCTTGCTGAGAAGGTCTCGTGGGTTCGGGAAGAGGATAGACAAAGGAAAGTGGAACGAATGAGGTGATGTAGCGAATTTCAGTATGGTAGAAATAGTGCGTGGTGTGATTTCGTATGTGGACAGTGATGTGGTGCAGTTTCGCGCGGGAGGTTTTCTGGCGTGACTTTTTGTGGAAGGTATCGTGATGTATGTGTTATTTCGGTGTGGGAACAAAGGTGTGCTTTAAAATGCAAGTAGTGGTGTGTTCTTCGTGGTAGGAGTGTTATGGTGTGGCATTGATGAAAGGAGTGGTGTAGAGAGATGTGATGTAGTAGGTGAGGAAAGAATGGCACAGGTAACATCGCGAGTGGTAGATGTGTGAGTGGTCTGGATATTCTTAAGTTATGTAAAGATGCATGCAGTAAAGCGTAGAACATAAATGTGCTCGTATGGTGCTCTGTAGAGAAATCCTGTTAAATTGATATCATTAGCTCATTTGATCAGAGAAAACCAAACTCCATACTCATGGCGAAAGAAATCGCTGTTAAACAGAATCATCTACATCATAATTCGTAATGATTCTCAATAAGCATGAGGGTAAGACCTTTAGAACTGCGGAGAGAAGCGAGCACTTGCTTCTGGCACAGTGGAAACTATTTCGTCTTCGTTTTGACGAACCTGAACTCTCGCAGTCGCTTAACGATTCCATAAAAACTAGCCTCCTCTACTCAAAGAACGTCGTTCCATTTCATGTCTTGCCGTAAGCCAGAGGTATTTACTTCTTGTAACACTTTCCACCACTCTGACGTGAACGACTTCATAGAACTCGAATCCTGTTCAGACGGTACTCTGCTAACTCTAGAAATACTTGTCATGGTTCAGAGGGATGTTACTCCGACACGTCCCACATATAGAAGCTTTTACGAGAGCGATGTACGGGAGCGAGACTACTGATGTTTTTGCCAGCGACGTGAGGAGATTATCTCTTCAGAAGGACCTTGTATACTTCCTCTTCTTATCCGCCGTGGGAAACAACCGGAAAAGTGCGTAAGCGCAGTGAAATTAATGTCAAGGAAAATTTTCAAGTTTCTCCCACGCATATGATAAATAATCTCTGATGAGAAAAATAATATGCAATAAACTTGCGTTGAAGTTTCGAATGCTGCATAAATTAAAAATGAAATAATGCAGTGAAGCAAACACAAGTATTCTGGAACGAATAACTACACTAGTTTGCAAAATACACTGCAATAACGTGTATTATTCCAATATTCACTTCGCTTATTTGAATATTTCGGACATACACTAACCACACGCATGTTTGTTGAAAATTTTTTTTTTTGAAATATATTTACTTTAATATTATTATCCGATTGTTTGTAATTTACAAGAAACATGTCGTTCATATATTTTAAATTCCTAAATCATATTATAATGTATAAAATATAAATTAACATTAACATCATTGATAAATTAATACTTTGTTGCATATTTAAATACAACGACCATCAGTTGTAAATATAGGAGAAAAACGTAAAAATACATACGTAATGTAGGACATGTAGAAAATTATTGCACTTTTTCCAAAACTATAACTCAAATAGATTTATACAAGTATGAAATCGTCTGGACAGTTGTGCTCTTCAGCTTGCTAATCAGTTCTAAAAACCAAACTAACCTTTTTCAATGCATTTTAGTTCCATTTAATCCATATGAATTCTTATTCTTATGTTAAAATTTCCAACTTGTTGAATGACATTAAATATACTTGTTCTTTATGTACCATTCCCATTTCTTCTCTGACCGAAATCTTCTGTAATGTCTGTCTTATCATTAGTTTAGTCAAGGTTATTCTGTCACTCTTTCCCAGAGCGTGAATACGCCAAGCTCTTCTAATTGCTGACAATTTCTGTCTGCAATTAGCCCTTTCGACAGTGGCATTATCCCGATTTTGTTAATCGTTTAGTCTCATAAATTTATGCTAAATCGTCTGGATGGTTGCATATTTTCAGTTGGTTACATGTCTGCTTGCTTGCCATACTGGTTTACATCTTCTCTATTGAAGGACGTTAGTTGCATCGATTTCACAACCAACAAGTTAATATTTTACTATGTTAATTAGTCCACTAGAGGGAACTCGAAAGGACATAAAACACTTAGTGTAAGTTCATACGTAAAATCAGCAGCCGCGACTACGTCAGTCCAATAGTTCGTGTGATAGCTCGCTGGTGAGGTTGACGGTCCGTTCGCGAGGTAGAAAATCCGCTCGTGAGGTAGTCAGTCCGCTCGTGAGGTAGTCAGCCCTTCGTGAGGTAGTCGGTCGGCTCTTGAGATAGCTAGTCGGCTAGTGATGTAGTCAGTTCGCTCGTGATGTAGTCAGTCTGCTCGTGAGGAAGTTGGTCGGGTTGTGAGTTAGTCAGTCGGCTCGAGTGGTAGTCAGTCCTCTCGTGAGCTAGTCAGTTCACTCGTGAGGTAGTCCGTCGGCTCGTGAGGTAGTCAGTCGGCTCGTGAGGTAGTTAGAGTGTTCATGAGGTAGTCAATCGGCTCCTGAGGTAGTTAGTCCGCTTTTAAGGTAGTCATTCCGTTTGGGGGGTTGTCAGTTGGCTCGTGAAATAGTCAGTCCACTCGTGAGATAGTCAGTTTGTTCGTGAGGTAGTCAGTCCATTCGTGAGGTAGTCAATCCGTTTGTGAGGTAGTCAGTCCGCTCGTGAGGTAGTCGGTAGACTCGTGAGGAATCCAGTCTTCTCGTGAGGTAGTCAGTCCGCTTATGAAGTAGTCGGTTCGCTCGTGATATAGTCAATCCGCTCGTAATTTAGTCAGTCCTCTCTTGAGGTGGTCGGTTCACTCGTGAGGTAGACAGTCCACTTGTGAGGTAGTCAGTCGACTCTTGAGGTAGTCAGTTTGTTCGTTAGGTAGCCAATCAGCTCGTGAGGTAGTCAGTCCGCTCTTGACGTAGCCCATTCGTGAGGTAGTCAGTCCGCTCGAGATTTAGTCAGTTCTCTCGTGAGATAATCGGTTCACTCGTGAGGTAGTCGGTCCACTCGTGATGTAGTCGGTCTGCTCATGAAGTAGCCAGTCCACTCGTGAGGTAGTCCGCTCGTGAAGTAGTCTATTGACTCCTGAGGTAGCCAGTCAACTCATGAGGTTGTGAGTCCGCCTGGTGATTTAGTGAGTCCGCTCGTAAGGTAGTCGATCGTTTGTTGAGTGGGTCATGTGGTAGTTAGTACGCCCGTGTGGTCAGTTCGGCCGTGTGGTCTGTCAGTCTAAATGGTCGGGCCACCTTCACATTCATCACAGGTCAACAGTTCAGTCTTCAGGTCAAAAGTTCACTCGTCGGGACAACAGTCCGTTCGCCAGGACAACGGTTCATTTGCCAGGTCAGCGGTTCATTAGTCAGGTCAGCGGTTTACTCGTTTGTTTATTAATTAATTCGCCAGGTTCGTTCGTCAAATTTTCGATTCATGTGAAAGGTTAACATTCTTGAAGTGAACGATTCATTCGTCATTTTAACGAGTTGTTTGTCATGTAAACTGTTAATTTATGTCTATGGTTAATTTGACCGGAAATTGATTAATTCGTACGGACGACGGGTTATTCGGCAAGATAACAGTTTATTTGTCAATTCAACGGTTACTTTGACAGGTCAACGAATCACTCGTCAGGTCAACGATTAACTCTTGTCAACGGCTCACTCGTCAAGTCAGCGGTTCACTTGTAAGATCAATGGGTCACTCGTTAGATAATGGTTCACTCGTGATGTCAACGTTTAATCGTCAGGTCAACGGCTCGCTTGCCAGGTCAACGATTCACTCATCTTATCAATGGTTCAGTCGTCAGGTCAATGGTTCACTCGTCCGATGAATGGTTCACTGGTTACGTCAACGATTCACTCGTTAGATCAACGGCTCACTTGTCTGGTCAACGTTTCACTCGTCAGGTCAATGGTTCACTTGTCAGATGGTATATTCGCAGTTAAGGTTGTCGGTGCTCACTTCAGACGTTTGTCATAGTAGTCAGTCGGTCGATAGAGTCGCTCGATGGAACATACCGTCACCCGTTGGTGGACACAATTGTCCAATGGTCGATACAGTCGTCAGGTGGTCGTTAGAGTTGTCCGGTGTTCGTCAGATGGTCGTACACATGTCAGATGAACATTTCACTCACCTGGTAGGCAAAGTACACATCAGGTCAATAGTTCACTGGTCTGTCACGTCAGGTAAAAATAGTCCCTTTGTCGTCAGGTCACTACATACGTCCGGTTGATAGTTCACTCACCATGTGGTTGATGTAGTCTGCAGATCAATTGTCTACTTGTCAGCTGGTCCCTACCTACACGTCAGGTCTATAGTCCTCTCATCATGTAATGATACGTCAGATGAGAACTATCAGTCCTTTCGTGGATCCTCGTTTCACACGACTTTTCTCTGTCAATTGTTCGCTAATCCATTCGTCAGCTTTTGTCAATTTAAACCTTCATCGCCTTCAATAATGTCATATTCACATAATTACGCATACTGCACCCTTACTCCCAAATGGTATTAAGACGTTCGTCCAACCGCTCAACTAGAAGCAAGTTTCTTAAGTCGGGACACTCGTCTGTCTTAATTTGACTAAATCAACTGTCTTATCGTTCATCCGTCCATCTGATTTGTCGAGTATTTACGTTTTTCGCATACAAGTAATGTGTAATTTTGTTCACTTATACTCCTATCAATCTTTTCGCTGCCTCGTCCGATTAACCCCCACAACGCGTATGGCTGTGCGTCCTAGCTAGTACTCACACCCGCAGGTGATTCCGTCCGCCCGACCGCGCGTTGGTCGTGCCGTGAACGAATCCCGAGCCGAGGCTGACGCCGAAGGAGCGCGGAGGGTGTGGAGCCCACCTGTCAAGTGTGCGGCAGTCTCCCTGCGCTGCGCCGCGAGCACCAGCTGAGCGCAGTGGCCCTCGAAGTCCGCCCGCCCGCGGCGGCGGCCGGCCGACGTCTGTGGAGGCGGCGGC